AGGGGGAGGGGAGGGCGGGAGGGAGGTCTTGCTGTTGATTGCTTTTGTTGCTTAGGTTCCCCCCCTTTTGGAGAAGAGTTTGTGTCAATCGAAAACGGAGAAGGACAACTCCGGGTGGACGCAGACTGGCGCGCTCGCTCGCTCCCCACCGCCCCAGCCCCGTCACCTCGGCCGGTGGCCTGCCAAGCGGCCTCCGTGTCCTCGGGGCGGCCCTCCCTGCGCCTGGGCTCCTTCGGGGAGGCGATACGGGGTGGCTCCTCACCGCGCCTGGCCGTGCGTCCTGGCTCCAGTCACAACTCGCGGCCGCTTGGGCGCGCAGCCCCGCATCGCTCGGCCCACGCTCCGGCTGCCTGCGTCCAACCCCACAGTCGCTCGACTTTCTTTCCTTTTCCTTTTCCCCCTCTTTTTTCGTTGTGGTAGCAAATCTGGGTTTCCTCTCTAGCCTCCTTTCTTTTGCTTTTGTTTTTGTTTTGTTTTGTTTTTCTTTTGCAGCGGGAGGAGTCGGGGGGGAGGGGGTAGCTTGGAGAGCTTTTAAAAAATGTCCTGGTGCAGCGGTTACAGTAGGCGGGCGACAGGAACAGCTTGGAGCGGACCGCCGCCCGGGCCGCGGCTCGTCGCTGGCTCTTCCCGGGCGCTCGTCCCTCGGTCCCTGGTCTCCTGGCCCAGTCCGCCGCCCCGGCGCGTCTCTCCCCAGCTCCGGAGGCTCGGTCACTGCTCCTGGCTGTTGGCTGTGCTCTGGAAGCCCCCTCGCCTTAATGCAGCGCCCGCCGACGTCATGGCGGCCTGCGACCAATCAGCGCCTCGCGGTCCCTCTGTAAACCATTCTGCATCCCCTGGCCCGGGAGAGTGCGGGGAGACCGCGTTTAGAGGATCAGTGGTGGCGGCACCCGCGGCCCCGCGCGGCGCGGGCGACGGGCAGCGAGGTGCCCGAGCCCCCTCCTGCTCCGGTAAGGCGTGGGTTTCGGTGGGAGGGACTGAGAGAGGGAGGGAGTAGGCACAGGCGGGAGACCAGAATTCTGCAGGAAGGTGGGGGTAATCCAAGACCGAGGTTTGCCGAAGGTTGGGGTACAGCCGGGTCCGGAAGCCCGGGCGGCCTGGTGCACTGTTTGACTTTGCAATTCAGCGGGTGTTGGCGTTTTCCCCCCTTGCTTTCTTGGCCTGGAAGATTGCCCCCCGGCACAGCGCGCGTCTTTGGAGGGGGAGGGGGCTCTTGGCAGCAGAATTCCCTCCTCCCGTCCCTCTTTGTGCCCCCTCCCCCAATCCATCCAAAGTCCGCAGGGTCCCCGTCTCAGAGAGATCTAGGTGTCTGCCTCCCGCAGCGTGCTCTTGGAAAGTTGATTCGCGCGGTTTCCTGGTGGGGGCGGGGGAGACCGGAGGCGCGACTCCGGGGAGGGGGAACGAGTGGCTGGGGAAGCGCCTCGGGTGAGAAGTTGTGAGAAAACTGTGATCCGGAGGCACCTTTTATGTACAGAAACAAACGACTAGGAGGGAAACCGCGGGGCTCCCCAGGAGGCTGGAGGTGGAGGTAGTGGCGGTGGGAAGCGGGGTAGGAGGGAGGCCCGGGGGCGCCAGGGAGAGGCGGCAGTCGATTGGGGTGTGCAGTGCACAGGCAGAGTGCCGGCTCCCAATCTTACCCTTTTCCAGGTTTCAGGCTGGCACGAGTTTCCCCAGACAGCAGCATATCACACTCTCCATAGCTCACTCCTCAGGAAGCCTATACCTCCTTAATTCCGCTCCGAGTATAAACTCGGGACCACCGCCCACGGGGGAAGATTTGCCCAGATGTAGGGGTCGGATCCGGGTCCTGAGAGCCTCGGCCTGGAAGAGTCACTCTAGTTCTCCGGCGCACCCAAATCAAACCCCAAATTCCGTTTCGGCCGCACCTTTTCTAGGCTTAACCGGTATTTCTCCTGGAGTCTGAAGGTTTTAGGGCGACCCCAATTTTGCTCGCAATTTTTGTTTTTTTTGGGGGGGAGAGAGGGGTGCTAGGAAGGTGTATTTGGCCTTAGTATGGAAGGAATAGGGGCGGGCGGCCAGCCAGGTCTAGCTGGTATTTTGGAATTGGCCTTCTGATCCCGTTCTCGATGCGGGGCTCAGACTTTCCATACAGGAGCCGGGGACTAAATTGGGGGAAATTAGAGCGGAAACGCAGCTGGAATGAACCTGGGCTGGCAGAGAATCCGGCTCTGCTAAAGGAACACCCTCTTCGGGCGAACCGGGAAGCCGCTACATCGAATTTGGCTTGTGCTCCGTGGGACTGTTAGGGTTTAGGGGTCTTCCAACGCCCCTTATCTACCTCCGCCTGCACCACTCAGCAACCCGGGGGCCCGCGGGAAGCCCCAGCCCTGCCGCCGGCGTCACCTTCCCATTGAAAACCGAAGCCGCCAAGGCTCGCCGTGCGCCTTTTTGGCGCTCCGCCCCACCCTGGCCTCCGGTGCCGCGCCCCTAACGCCTGCTCCGAGCCCCCGCCTCCGCCGCCCGTACCTACGCACTTGGACTCGGACTCCCAGCTACGGTGCAGGGCAGCGCGGGGGACTCTCGCGCACCAACCCCCTCTGCCGAGGAGCGGGCAGGGGATGGAGAAGGGGATTCTCTGACCTAGAGGGCGGGCTCTGCGGGCTCCGCGGGCTCGGGCTTGGCTCCGCGCTCCTCCCGCGGACTCGACACTTCCTGGAGCCAGCCGACTGGTACCCGGTATTCTGGCACCCCCGGAGGTGCTAAGAGCGGTGTGGCGCGGGGTCCTCACTTCCTCCACCCGGACCCCGTGGCGCCTCCCAGCCCGCTGCGCACGGTGAGGCACACGGGGATGGGCCCGTCCAGCAGAGCGGTCCCCACGGCCCGCCGTTCCCCTCACCCCCAGCTGTCCCGGTCCTAGCCGCTAGCTCTCTCGACCCAACGGCCCCTTTCTGGAATCTATAGCGGCCCAGTCCCGGGGGGCTCGCCCCCGCCCCCGCCCCGGCTGGACTCCTTCTCATGCAAAGCAGTGGAGCCACGGTGGGGTGGGGAGGGGTAGGCGGGGACCTACGGGGCGACAGCTGGACCCGGCTGCCAGCCCTTCCTGAACCCAAGGCCCGCCGCCTGCCTCCGGTGGGCAGGAGGAGGTTGCTTTATCCGTTTGGGGGTGCAGCGACCTCGGGACCTATAAGGGGGGAAAGAGGACCCCCTCCCGCAGACGGACCAGCGCGGTAGGGGAGTTGGGGGCGAGGACAAGACTCTGTCTTTAGGGCACTAGGGCTCTGCTTGTCCCACAGTCCAGATGGCGCATTAAATAGGTCCGCGGAGCCAACCGCGACGTCTACGAGGGGGTCTAGGAGCGGAGCGCAGGGAGCGGAGCGCCTCTCGGCTCCTGATTCTAGGTTTAAAGTCCAGACTTAACGCCTCCACTGGACAGCACACTAGACTAATGGCTGTTTTTGTTTGTTTGTTTTTCTTCGTTTCCATTGAGCTTTTATTTTAAGATGTAATCTATTTGAGAAACGTGGCGAGAAAACTGACCCAGCTTTTTAAATTCGCAGTCTCCGAAGCCGCTCAGATCAGCTCTGCATTGAAACAAACCGATGTGCTCTCAGCGAAGAGCATCAACCTAACCTCATCACCTTCACCACCACGCTTATTGTCTGCGTCCACAAGGACACAGCGTTTTCCTGCCAAACGTCCTCCAAGTCACACAGACCCACAACCACTTACACCGTCCCGGGACGTGTAAATTCTAGACTGGGCGCCTTGAAGTTCAATTTCGCGGCCGGGACATCGCTCAGTGGCCGCAGAATCCTCTCTACCTCATTCCAGGCACTCTCGGGAAAGGCCCCAGAGGGCCCAGGAAGCGGCTTTCACGCTCCAGGTTTCTCTTCTGAGAAGCTCCTTAAGGATCAGTCCCAGAGGAGGAACCCAGTCCGGGATGGAGAGGGTTCCGTCAGCCCTCCCCAGCCACCCTGCGGGCTGGGGAGCTGGAGGCCCCCCTCCTGCACCCCCTCCTCCCGCCGCCTCCTTGGTCCTGAAACCCGCCTCTCCTCCTTGCCCGACGTTCCCGAGTGACTCGCATGGCCCACAACCGAGCCTGCCCAGTCACCGTCCGCTGCCATCGATCCTGAGAACCGCCGCTGGCCTCTGCCCTCCTTTCCCAACACGCCCCTATCCTGGTCTCGGCCCCCAGAAAAGGGCGAAGCGGCGCGAAAGGAGGCGCCTGGGGAGGAGCCGGCTCTAGGTGGTTACCTGTGCGGAGCCACGCAGGTTCAGCAGGAGGGAGGAAAGAGCGAGCCCGGCGCACCGCCGGACCCTGCCGGCCCCGCCTGGAAGCCGAGCAAACTCCGCACAGACTCGGTGAGGACGCGGCAGACGCGACGCAGGGAACTGCTGGGCTGGGGTCCCTCACACCTGATCGCCCACCTCTCGCGCCCTCTCCGTGTTCCCTCATCCTCTCCCGACTCGGGTTGCCTTAATCTCACCCCGTCAGTCTCTCATGGAAATGATCTCCTTGTGTGCAGCACTTTACAGTTTATATCACTATGTCCCCTGAACAGCATAGTAAGGAGGTGGAGGGTGGGGGAGAAGGGTCGGTATTATCTGCACTTTCCCAGGCAGGAAACCCAAGTTAGGGGACTTGTCCGAGATCCCTTGGTCAGTGAAATTTGAAGGTGAAGTTTTTCTGTTTTTGTTTTTGTTTGGGGGAAGGCGGGTTACCACCTTTCTCCAATATACACTTTGCCCCTGGTCACGTTTTTCAAGGGGGCCTGGGGCAGGGATGGGGTTGGG